GCAGGAGTGCTCAGACCAGACTAAACCTCTCTATCCTACTGCAACACAGTCTCATCATTTTATGGCAAAAGCAAAGAGGAAATTTTGTGCATTGTTAACAGCCCTTTCATTTCCTGAACTTGCTGGCATTCACTCTATTACTTCAAACCTACCCAAACCAACCTTATAGGGCAATGCAACAACCCAACCTTATACCTATGAAGTACAGGGAATAAGAAAAATAGAACTAAATGTATATAAATTTTAACAGATTAGATGCACAAGTCCGTAAACTAAAGGGTTCAGGACCTACTCACCAGATGATGGAGGCGTTGATTTTCTGGAACTAGGAACGATGTCACCCAAACTGGATGAAGAGTTTCCTCCTGATTTACTGGAGTAAAGCAGCAAATTAGTTTGAAGTTTCATAGCTCTCTCAGTATTTAGTCTAGCTTATTTACTACCTGCCTTCTAAATGAGCTGCTACCTGAGACACAAGCAGTATTTCTGGCAGTGGTATAATATACATCTTACACAAAATATGTGTACATTTACAGGACTGAGGAACTGCAAACATCAATCATGCTCTGTGTTCTGCTATGCAACTTCATTCTGCTGCATATGCATTCACTACCTCATGATCTTTATGCAATCCAATTATTAATATAGCTACTGACATATAATTATTAATATTACTACTCATTACTAAGACTAATTCTTAAGCCAGTGAGCATCAGTTTCCTTTAACAGAAGAGTTATTGATAGCTCCCTAAGGAAACTGATAGTGTGTTTGCCTAACATCTTTTCAATTTAATTAAAGTAGAAATTCTTTTACTGTCTCAATACAAGGTAGCACTTAGCAAAAAAAAGTCTCTCGATGAAAGGTAAAGCAGTCTAGGGTTTTGTCAAGTTGGGCTTTGTGAAAACCTATCAAAGTTGTGAAAACGAAACTATTTTTTGGTAATTTTTTTTCAGTTACCATAACAAGAAAAGCACTGAAAAGAATGTAAGAAATGCTATTTCACTATTGAAATAATGTGATAGTACTAGTTTCTACTTTCTCTATCTTAAAATATTAATAAGCACTAAATTAATGCATTTGTGGCAGAGGACAGTGTTATCTCCAGTAAGAAGTTCTGGAGAATGGAAGCCTTCACAATCTGGAAAGGGACCGAATCAGTGGGTCAGATTTGGCTGTATCAGAAGTGTCACAAGAGAAATAAGGAACCTGACGTCCTCCTGCTGAGGACAGCTCACTCATAGGAAAGGCACGTCACAGCTGGGTAACATGGCTGAGTACTGCAGCATCCTGGTCTCCTCCTACTGTAGACATGCTCTTCAAACACTGCTGTCCTTCCTACTGAAGTAGGAAAGCCTTTCTGGCTTCCCGAATGTTTCCCAGCTGTTTTCTCAATTGCAGCTCCATCCCACTCAGACATACTGGAAATATGTGTTTCCTACATACCCAAAGGGAAGCAAGTGGCATTTGCTTCCACGTGTGTTAATGTTTACTGGAAAACGACTTTATTAAGAATTCTGCAGTAAAGATGGCATTATCACCATCTTGCAGTATTGTTCAATACATCTAGATAGAAACACAGAATCACAGAAACCATAGATACTGAATCTTATTTTTTATGTAACGATGGCTGCAGTCAGAGACAACAAATGACTTGACATGAAATCGTAATGCATCGTAAAATGCAGTATTCTTAAAAGCTGTGTATGCAGGTAATGAATCTGACAACGACCAAACCACTTTTTCCCTAACAGCTAACTAACAGGCACTGGCTTCAGCTTACAAATAAATTATTCTTAACATTTTCTGTAATTTCTAAAATCAGCTTTAAAAGTGTTTAGAAATTGCAAGATCATGAAAATAAGTAACAAATGCTAAAAAATTTAGGGTGAATGATTTTTAAGTAAAAAATTGTGCTTGCATATAGTAAATTTACTAATTGCAGTATGTGTTTGCAAATATTTTCTAAAAATAAAATTGAATAATAGCCATTGTAGGCCACCACAGACCACCAATCCAAATATCTACTTTGTCTCTCCAATACCAATGACATTAATTATATAAATACACATTACTTCCTTCATTGATTCAAAATGTTTGTAGCTGCCAATTACTATAATTAAACAGAACCATAGCATTACACATAGCACAGCATTAACTTCCAAGTTGCATCACAGTCAATGCTACTATTTTTAATGATTTGTTTTTATTACCTGGAGTAGAATTTTCCTTGTTTTGCCTTTTGTTCATGCTGCAGCCTCATGTTTTCTAGCTTGACTGGGCTTGGTATGAATCCTATTTCACAGCCTTCTTTTACCAACCGTCCTATCCACCAGTCATTATTAAATTTCTACAGATAAAAAGAAAAAGTCATATACTAAGAAACTACTGTATTTGGGATCATTTTGTTATTATTTTTAATTTGCAGCTAAGCCATTTCATGTAATTCTTCCCTGAAGTTAATCACTGTACTAGGTTGTTATGACAATGAAGAATTGTGGTAATATTCAGAAATACATTAAAATAATTACATCTTGCAAATTATTAAAATGCCACAGTACTTAAGCAGAAACCTTCCTTCACAGACTTCATGATTCTCCCTGGCTGTTATTGCCAACCATTTCACCATCTTCATTTTTTCCTGTTTTACAATCTTTTCTCCTCATACATGAGGGCTGCTTTTGTTCTGTCTTGATGTTTCTCCTTGGTGGACACCAGAGATTTCTTCTGATCTGCTCCTACTCACTGCAACAATTTTTACAGCTCTGCAATAATCTATTTTTCTTATTGCATTACATTCAGTTCTCTATTTAAAATAAAAAAAATACTACTTCTCAAACTCCCTCGCTTCTTTGAACTTACTGAAATCTTCTGAAATATGACTACATTCTGCTGCTTATATATGCACTACTGCATACACCCCATGTGATCTGCATCTTAAACATACAGTGATAGATCCACAAGGAATGGATATCTTTGGATGACTAAAAAATCGTGCAATTCTACCAATGCGCAAGATAGTCCAATTAACTGAACTTCAGCTATATGAAATATGAGATAATGACTACTCTAATTTAATAATATTTATTAATACACACAGAGAGGGTTTTGTTTGTTTGCTTTGCAGAGGTCCGTAAAGCAGAATTATCTGCTTTTTCCTTTATTATTTATTCAACATTTTCGGATGAGAATAGGTCACTTCTGTATGGCCCCACATGCAATATTCTGAGAGTATCTACTGTCAAACGTGAATTTTCAATAATTTGGATTACTTATGAAACTATAAGAGAATATCTGAATCGGAAGCGAAGTTGCCTTCTTGAATCTGAAGCTATGAATGAAGATATTACAGTGCACGTTTAATGATTTAATAAGTAGCTTTAACAAGTGTGCAGTTAGGAGTAAAACATGTAAAATGTGTGGGCTCGCATAAAAAGGAATTAATTTCACTGAGAATACAATGTTGGTGGATCAATGATACACAACCTAAATTACAGTATTATCTTTTATTCTGGCTACTACAGAAATGTTGTGATGCTTGAAGCCAACTTTAAGATATTTAGCTAAGAAAAAATATAGATTAAAATAAATGCACTTTTAAGCTCATAAAATATAACAGGATCTATAACATCTTATTTATACAATGGGATGCCTTTATGAGTAAGAATACCAACATTTAACAGGGAGCTATTCTGGAATAGTAATTTCTCAAAGCTGTATTAGACTGAAACTTATTATTAAAAGAATAACATTTCATTGCAAAATGCTAACTAAAGATATGCAAGTGAATTCAAAATATGTTGTAGGATAATATAGGTGGAGGATGACTACAGCAATTGAGCCAATGGAGGTTGCTATTATATGGATCTGCTTGGTGGCATACAGGAGGTCTGCAAAAGTAGTATCATTAACTTGGCAAAAACATCATTAAATTAAAATCTGAACAGCCACTACTTTTTTATACTGTCCTATAGTACAGTAGACTACTACACAACAACATTCATTTTATTCTAATTGAGAGAAACGCTAAATCCAAAGGAATTTTTTCTTCATACAAAAATAAAAGCATCTGGAATTCACTCCTGCTAAGTCTCAAATCTAAAAGCTGTGTCAGTATACGAAAAGAAGGGTAAGATATTTCTATAAGTAAATAATACCACGCATACTAATTTCTAATTTTAAAAAGTAATAGCAGAAATCTTGGTAGCGAGGTGTCTAGCTCTTAAGGTGCTGATGGGGCTGAGTGATTCTCTGTAATTTACCTGTGCTTGGAGTGCCAAGGGAAACACAAATATGAGTTCAATGCAAAGCAGAATTATGGCCATGCCTTAAAGCCCCAAAAGATTCAGGAGTGACTATGATGCAATGTGTGTTTCTTCACGCAGGAAGGAATCCTTCATTTTTATATGTGCTGTGTTTTAATGAATGTAACCAAATAATGAAAATAAAATTCCGTCATACTCAATCACTGCAGCACTTTTCACCATTGCCCATGTACATTCAAACTGAAGTTTTTTTTGTTTGAGTCCTCTCAGCAGCATAAATTGGAGAATGCTCCTCACAGACAAGAAGAGGACGGCATTGATCTAGTACAGTACTACTATGCAGGCAAAAGTTATCTGAGATTAACTTTGATTTCTTTATTTCTAGCAACCACTTAGGTATAAAATGTAAAAGCAACACTACATTTCACAGTACAATATATTTTTTTACTTGCCATCTGCATAAATAATGAAATTTTGGACTTTTCACTTCTCCCAGCATTAACTATAGGGAGTACCAAAATTACTGAAAATGCAGTATCTGGTGGGTAAGGAGCAATATCTGGCGGAGCCTCAGAGAGCAAGCAGGGCAAGGCCATGGAAAAGGGAAGGGCAGGATGTGGCTGTGCAGGGAAGGGCCACTGCTCAGGGCACCCTCCTGAAGACGTTTGACCCACCCAGACTCAACTGCCACTGCCAAACACAGGACCAGAGAGTCCAAGTCCAACTCGTTGGGGTCCCTTCCCACCTCTCCCAGCAGGGTCCCTTCCACAACCCAGCTCTGGCCTAGCACCACTAGATGGTCAACTTCCCTTAACTGCTTAGAGAGAAACCCAGATATTTTTAAAGGCAATTAGCACAGAGTACCTGTTCTACTACATCTGAAGCTGCAAGAACAACTGCATTTTAATGTACATTTCCACAACTCAGTGCTACATTCACCCACAGAAAATATAACAACTCAGCTGAGCTAAGCTTCCTTTCAAGGCATTTCTGGAGATCCAGAAAAGTTCAGGAAACTTTTTCTTCCTCATTTTCTCCCATGCGTATTTACATCTGAGTCTAAGTTGTGCTGTGAGGAAAAAAAGCATAAATTATAGCAGAAAATCCACTAACACTGTGTTTCTGGTTCATATGGAAACAGGAGAAACAGTTGATGTGAAGTCTGAGATTACCAGCTCGTTTGAAATGCAGATGGAATAGAAGACTATACGAAATAATTTTGTCTAACCAAACTGAGCTGTATTTTCCAGGGCTTCCGGACTCACCGGAGAAGGCTGATGGTTTTCTTTTGCCAGGACTCTGTGTCTGCTCATCTCTACTTTTGTTATAAGACAGAGCAGAGCACTTCTTTTGCACTATCATCAGACAGAAAACATACTTCCTTCACTATATACAGTTTGAATCCAAATTATCTCTTTTTTGTGTGTTTAATATATATGGAAAGTGATGATCATTAGTCATCAGTATGAAGGCACTAAAAGTCCATTTCTCATGTTTAGTCTCTGTCCACCTGTACTTCTACCTGTGTACTGGGAATGTTTCCTGCTTCTGCAAAGCACCTGCACTGGCAGAATCATTGTGCATCATCGATCATATCTACTGAGGGATTTTTTGATAATCTAAAATGGGGCAAAGTTACAATTTCAAATGCATGGCTAAGTTGCTTTCATCCTCAGGCTAACTTTCTAGTTCTTCTGCTACAAATTTCCATTTCCAGATGGATTATTTTGTGACAAAACACAATGGATGGAATATGACCAGAAGCTGGGAAATCTCGTAAAATGAGGGAATCATTCAGAAAGGAACAGCAGGCTGCTAAGGAGGGCCTGTATGGGAAGGTTACCGAGTTATTTGCTTCAGATTGTCTTGCAAGGAGCAGAGAAAGAAAATTACTTTAGGTGTTTGAAACTGTAAAAACTGAAAATTTTCAAAGCCAAACTACAGGAAAAAAAAACAACTTAGCAAATGCAAAATGCCTTTTTTTGACATTGCTATGTGCATCTTGAAACACCACATCAGTTCTTCAGTATGTAACTGTTAACAAAATATTGTCTGTGCCAGGGGAAAAACTTCAGTGAAAAAAAGGAGACCTGAGGATTTTGGGGATAACTGAGGTTCAGTCACAGAAATAAAAGATAATCAACCCTTGGCTGCTGAATCACAATGAACCCTCAGAGTACTAGAATGGTAAAACCCACAAATATATCATTGAATATGCAGAAGTAAATTTTTAAAGCTCTAAATAAGTGATTTTTACTAGAGAAGAAAAGCATTTGCTTTCCAAACTTCATTAATTTGATTGTAAGAAATTTGTGTCATAATTTTTATAAAAATATTATTTCAAAGAACATTCAATTCTTATACATAGCTACCTTATTTAAATAACATTTCTGTAGTGCCTTGACAATGTGAAGTGTTTAATCTTAATGTTAAGAAACAGTAGCACTATTACTCAAATAGAACCTTAAAGAGGCACTCACTTATTCCTCTAGTTTTACTTACTTCTTTAACATGAAGAAAATCTTTAGCCTCAAATGAGATGGCCATGCCTGGGACTGGAACATCGTCATCGTGAGCTGCACTGTACCCAACATTTGTCCGAACTGCAAATGCAACAGGTTTTGTCTGCAAAACAAAAGATGAAGACCTCCCTCACAAACATGTACATATGTACAAACATATACACTGAGGATGATTTCTGTGAGTTATCTTCTTAAAATAATAAAAATTACAGAGAACTTTCAAAGCATCCATGTAAAACATCATTAAGCGTCACATTTACTTACCTCAGTTCTTTCCTATCAACATGTTTCATGATAGAATTCAAGATTTTTTTCTAGCTATTAGTCCTATGAATTCACTTGGGGTAAGTCAAATCAATAATCAGAAATCATAAACTAGTTGGCAATCCATATACTATGCCCGGCTTGCAGTTCTGCTGCCACACTTGCTTAGAGCTATGGAGGAGCTCATGTTCCCCAAGCAGCCTTCAGGGAAATCACAAAGTAGGAGGAGGAGTGCCAGCAGCTGCCAGTGACCCCTAAACAAGACACCTCACTGCAGAGCCATTCTGAGAGTGCAGTAATGTGCCCTCAGTTCATCAGGTTGTTACCAAATACCAGCCGCAGAAAGAATTATTGGTTCCCGTAATTCATACTACAACCTATACTGGTAGTCGATATCAGTAAGTTACTGGGTTTTCACAAGTTTTATTTTCAAGAAGCAGTTGCAGGAAGAGTCAGTGCCTCCCCTGGTCCCACAGCTGCCCTCCAGCCTCCTGCACAGCTTCTCCATCAAGCCCCACTGGTGCTGAACATCTTTATGCACAGGTATGGTTAAGCAGGTAGTAAAAGCTGCCATCCAGCTCAGGCCAGCCTATAGCTATAGAAGGCTTCCTCTTCTGAGAGGTACAACCAAAATCCAGGAGAACAACATTTATTCTGGTTTATTTTATGCCAGACAACACATCGCCCTCCTGACAGTATCTCTGGGACCTACCATCGTTCTACCCCAGGCTAAATTTTTAGCCCACCTCCAAATCCTCCACACTGCTCTTATGATGTAGTCTTAAGTCTTTATACATTACGGCTGGCTAAATATTTTTCAAGGATGAACTGAGTCTCAGAGGTGCTCACAAGTGATTGAGAAAGGCATGACATAACTTTTCATCTTAAAATATACTAAAACTTCTACCAGATAACAAATCTAGCTTTATTAGTTGGTACCCAGCATCACTTCGTCTTGGCTAAAAATATGTTATTTTGCTGAGATGACAAGCAAAAAAATATATATCTCATTTCCTATGTAAGGAATTGCTTCCATTCATTCTTGAAAAAGAGGATATGGAAATGCATCCCCTACTTCATGACAGCAAACCCGAATACCTGAAACTAAAAATCATGCTATATTTTTCTCATTAACAAAAATCCCTGCCTGCTCCATTCAGTATTACTCTGACAACTTGCATACTGCTAGAGGACAGAAATCTGCCAGATTAAAATACATGATAAAATAATGAGAGAGATAAAGAAATAATTCTAAAGACAATATCATGCCACCTGGCCTGGAAAGGACAGTTAGAAATAAACGGAGAGAAGGTCCCCTGTCGCTTAATTCAGGTCTAATGTGCTGTAAAAAACACAGAGTTCCAATGAAGTAGATTTTAAAACTCCTTAAATAGGCCTCTATTTGAATGAACTACCACAGTCAAACAATTTACATAGAAGTGCACATTCTAGGAAGTTTTTTTAATTTAGAAGGAGAAACAATAAGCTCTTTCATAACAGTGGGTTCAAGAGAGTTTCTGTGTCAAGAAGTGAAACAGGGAGTTTCAACGGAAAGAAATTTTGGAAATGAATTGCAGAATGGGCTTTGTGTTTATATGGTATTATGAACTTAAATATGTATTTGTACAGAGAGATGATCATGAAGCTACTGGAAAAGGATTTTACTCTATCCCATCCGTTCCTTCTTCCGGAGTTAGTGGAAAAATCTTAAGAAAGGTTGAGTAGAAGGGCTCTAAAGACTGAAACTGGTACCATTTAAACACGCACTTGTTTAAACTGGAAAGCCTATGGCAGACTACAAAATTAAATACAGCTGAATATATCTACGAGTTGAAATAACACATCCCAAGAGTTCAATGTCTGTCTTGGTGTTTAGCCACAATTAGAATATTGCAAATAGCCAATTGCTTTTCTTTCCAGGTCTCTGTTCTAGAAAAAAAAACCCAAATTAACAAATTAAGAGTACTATGTGAAATTCAATAATAAAATAAACAGTAATTGTTAAAGTGTCTCTTTTCTTTCAACAAGGAAAATCCTTTTGCTGTATAGAATATCCCGGAGATGTTACTCAATAGATATAGGTTATATAAACAACTTGATTATATTTACACTGTCCAACACAAAAAAGTTCAAATCAGAAATAATATTTTAAAAGTACATAGACGTAACTGGTAAGTGGATCAAATTCATCCATTGACAGCAAAAATATGGAGAAAAATACGTATCAAGGAGGAGTTGGTTTAGACGAGTTTACTAGATGTTCTTACTATCTACCATTCTATGTTAGAAAATGACAGCCACAATTTTTTTATATATATAAAAAATACAATCAAAAACTAATAGCTGGCTTAACTCAATGTGTTGGGCATCTTTCTCATACCTTGAACTCTTCCAGTGTGCTGGAAAAGGAGTTTAGGCACCTGTTATGGTTTGAAGTGGGGGGGGAGGTTCGGGTGGCAGAAGCTGCCCATCAGACCGGACTCCCGTCCCCCTCGGGGCTTGAGCCAATCGGCGCCTCTGCGAATTACCCTATTTACGTC